AAAATATGCACTGAGTCTAGGAAACAGGGAAAGCATTAACAAGAGACTCAGTTAATCTCCTCCCTGGGGTATAAGAGGGAGGGAAGGGAAAACACATCAGGCCACATTATTCTGTTGGTATAACCTATTTAAATAAAATAGAGTGCTAGTCATCTTTGGAATCCATTTCCTGATCTGGTCAATTTTAAAAGGCTGACACTCTGACAAACACAAATACAAACTAGTTAATCACACACGCAGACACACACACTTATTTAGAGTAGGCACTGAGTTCCCAAAAGTTATAGCTGAGTCAGTGACAGTAGGGACAGCTGCCAGTGCAGCAAACACCTGCAAAGGTTGGCTTTGAATTCAATGGAGCGCTTTGCACTTCTGTGAAAAAGAGTGGATTTGGTGTGTGTTTTATTTGAGGAGTTTCAAACTTTAATCACTTTTAGGAACCTTTGGATCGAATCCTCTCCCTCCAGATAATCCACTAAATGCTTTTCTAAATAAAACTTGAGTCCTATGGAATCTTCTGATATGTATCTAACAGCAGGTAAGAGGTGAAGAGACTTAAAATGATCTCCTCTCCCATCTTGAGTAGCAGTTTTAGATCAAATGTCTCCCTCTCCTCTACCATTTAAGAAACATCTTCTCCGGATGAAATCGAGCATGAAATGTGTAAATGTTAAAAATGGTGGGCAAATATGAAATAGCTGGTAACACTAGTGGGTTCGTGAAGGTTCCTTAGTGCTAGAGAAGGGGGGCAGCAGCAACTGAAAATAATTTAATACTCCCCTCTAATTAATTTTCATTTGGGAGAAGTCAGATATTTCCTGTGGTTAAGTGAGATGCAGAGTAGATATGACAACCTCTAATCTAACCAGGCTGACTGAAAGGGTATATAAACATATTGGCAGAGCAAATACAGGCTACGCAGCTGTCTGAGACGAACGAAAAGCGCTTCAGGCAGCATCAAGCCAAGCATGACAGATGGAAGCAGAATGTCTTGTGGGATATGAAGAGGACAATGCAAAGCAAATGTCCAGCTTGCCTTATGAGTGACAGAGAGTGGTTTGTTTGTATACATCTTTTGCTAGAGAAGACCTTGACCTTAGCCTTTATATTAGTTCCAACCCATGGAGTCTTCTGAGCAAATAGTTGCCAGCTCATTAGCTAACTCTTTGTTGATGCCATTTTGACAGACACGAGAACCTGCTAAAGAATGGGAGAAATCTGAGTGAAATCTGACATTCAGATCTTCTTCCCGAGAAATGATTGGCATCCTCCAAATGCACATCACTACTAATAGGTTTTTAGATAATGCAGCAAAGTTGTCCTGCATGATCTTTAATGCCAGATGCCGGAATGAAAAATATTTTTTAAAAAATCTGTTCAAATCTATCTTTATTCACCTAGTTTTGGAACTTATAAGCTAGACTCTTGTATTTCTCTGTGTCATGCTCTTGACTCCCATTTGACAAATGAACAGAATTCCAAGCTTCCCCACAGTAGACACAACAAATTGATCAAAGTGAGGGGAATATTAGACTTAATTCTCACTAATAGAGAGGAAATGATAGAAGGTGTTGAAGTCACAGGAACCCTGGGGGCAAGTGACCATGCAATATTGGAATTCAGCATTATGCAAACACAAGTAGTAGAACAAAGTCAAACTAGAGTCTTGGATTTTAAGAGAGCTAATTTCAATAAATGTAGAGAGAGTTTGGGAAGAATTCCATGGATGAGAATCCTCAAGGGGAAAACAACTCAAGAAGCTTGGGAAATTTTGAAAAATGAGATTACAAAAGCTCAGCCTAGCACAATACCAATGAAGAAGAAAAATAACAGCTCCCAAAAGAAACCAGCATGGCTGCATAAAGAACTCTCTGACAAATTGAAAGACAAAAAAAGTTAAGTATAAAAAGTGGAAAGAGGGGGACATAACTAAGGCAGAATATCAGCAAATAGCCCGAGCCTGTAAAGATGAAGTAAGGAAAGCTAAGGCTCACAATGAAGAAAGGCTTGCCACAAAAGTAAAAAAATAACAAAAAAAGCTTCTTCTAACATATTAAAAACAAGAAAAAGGTTAAGGAAACAATTGGTCCATTGCTGGGAGAAAGTGGCAAGAAGGTGACACACAACAGGGAGAAAGCAGAACCATTTAATTCATTTTTTGCATCTGTCTTTACACAAAGGGATAAAACAGTCTAACCTATCAAAAAACAGCACCACAAAAATCAGATTGGGAACACAAATTGAAATAGGGAAGAAAATGGTAAGTGAGCACCTGTCTACCCTAGACGAGTTCAAATCACCAGGACCGTATGGATTACACGCCAGGGTTATGAAGGAACTGGCAGATGAGATCTCAGAACCACTGAACTATATCTTCCAGAGATCCTGGGGCACCAGGGAACTGCCAGAGGACTGGAAAAGAGCTGATGTGGTTCCCATCTTCAAAAAAGGAAAAAAAATAGATCCAGGACACTATAGACCTATCAGTCTGACCTCAATACCAGGAAACATTCTGGAAAAGATAATTAAGCAATGAATTAGCGAACACCTGGAAGTATACATAGTAATAGCCAAAAGCCAACATGGGTTTGTCAAAAACAGATCATGCCAGACTAATCTTATTGCATTCTTTGACAAAGTGACAAAATTAGTGAAGCAGAGGAATGCCATCGATATAGTTTACTTGGACTTAAGTAAGGCATTTGATAAGGTAGACCATAACCTACTACTAGATAAAGTAGAAGAATGTGGGTTGGACAGCATCACCACCAGAAGGATTCGTAACTGGCTGACCAACTACACTCAACGTGTAGTCCTCAATGGAACTGCATCTACATGGAGGGAAGTATGCAGTACTCTTCAACATCTTCATCAATGATTTGGATGAGGGAATAAATGGGGAACTCATCAAATTTGCAGATGACACCAAGCTGGCAGGAATAGCCAACACTCCAGAAGACAGGATTAAGATACAAAAGGATCTTGACAAACTTGAACATTGGGCACTATCTAATAAAATGAAATTCAGTGGTGAAAAGAGTAAGGTTCTACATTTAGGCAAGAAAAACAAAATGCACAGGTACAGTATAGGTAGTACCTTGCTCAATAGTAATAACTGTGAGAGAGATCTTGGAGTCCTAGTGGACAACCATTTAAATATGAGCCAGCAGTGTGCAGCAGTTGCCAAAAAAGCCAACACAGTTTTAGGCTACATAAACAGAGGGATAGAATCAAGATCATGTGAAGTGTTAATATCACTTTATAATTCCTTGGTAAGGCCACACTTGTAATACTGCATTCAGTTTTGGTCTCCATGATGTAGAAAAGATGTGGAGACTCTAGAAAGAGTGCAGAGAAGAGCAACAAAGATGATTAGGGGACTGGAGACTAAAACATATGAAGAACGGTTGCAGGAACTGGGTATGTCTAGTTTAATGAAAAGGAGGACTAGGGGAGACATGATAGCAGTGTTCCAATATCTCAGGGGTTGCCACAAAGAAGAAGGAGGAGAAGAAGGAGAAGAAGGAGTCAAACTAGTCTCCAAGGCACCTAAGGGTAGAACAAGAAGCAATGGGTGGAAACTAATTAAGGAGAGAAGCAACTTAGAACTGAGGAGAAATTTCCTGACAGTTAGAACAATTAATCAGGGGGACATCTTGCCTCCAGAAACTGTGAATGCCCCAACTCTGGAAGTCTTTAAGAAGATGTTGCATAGCCATTTGTCTGAAATGGTGCAGGGTTTCCTGCCTAGGCAGGGGGTTGGACTAGAAGACCTCCAAGGTCCCTTCCAACTCTGCGATTGTATTGTATTTAATAGGAAAAAGTATGACAGCTTGATCCCCACTGCTCCATCGCTTTCAAAACAGACATAAGACATGTTTTGTTTTTAAATGCAAAAAACATCTACCTGCGACAACCCACCAGGATTCAAGTTATCTGTTCAGTCTGACTTCAAGGAAGGGCCTTCCCAGGTCAATAATAAGGGCAAGCAAGAGAGCAATCTTGGTATCCACTTCCCAAGCTTTGTAATCCCCCTTTCCCCAGAGGATTACCTAAAGTTAATTCTTCTGAAAGTAATGAGTAACTCTCACTACAATGGAAATTTAGTGGCTGGGCCATTTTTCAAAATGTGAACATACACATATACATATAAAAACACACCCATATTTCTATGTACCATTTTCAGTGTTTCGGTTCTCAGGTAACCAGAGCAAAAGTGCTTTAAATAATGGATTGAAGACCTTTTCTTTGTTCTGAGCTATATTCCCCAATGATACTATGCCAGAAGCTACATTCTGAGATTAATTTCTCTCTCTTTCTCCCCTTCCACCTGCCCTCAAACTCTTTTACTAATTGTCCTATTACTTCTCCTTCCCTCTTCTTGAACACCTAACAGGGAGAAAGCAGAACCATTTAATTCATTTTTTGCGTCTGTCTTTTGCTAGGAGAAGGATAACTTTTTGCATAGATCTGAACTGATAACTGATAACTAGCAGAAAAGTTTTGGAATTAGAGTATGGGACACAGGTGCTAATGAGTCTTGTTTTTTAAAAAAATGTGAGTCCCTCTAAGTCCACATTTTTGTTTCTGAGATTCATGTATTAAATGGTACTTCAAGACCCATGATGGGTCCTAAGAATTGTGCCTCAAAAGAATAGAGCCCCCTAATTTTTCTGTGCTGCAATCCTCTATTTCCCTGCATCATATTATGATTACTACTGATAGAGGCAGGGAAACATGCAAGCGTTCACACACTTGCATGTTTCCCTACTTCTGTCAGTAGCAATCATGAATATAATGCAGGATTGCAGCTCTGAGCAATTGCACTTTTCTTACATAGTTTTGTGGATGACAAGTGTTAAAAGAGGAGCAGAAAAAAATGACCAGAGTGAAAAGAAGGGAATTTGTTCTGAGTAAAAATACATTTTTTTAAAAAAAAAAAGGAGAGGCAAACAATGCTGATGCGAATAGAGCAACAGTGGATGATCTCTTGCTAGTACCTGTTGGCTGTCGAGACCTTGCTTCTTTCAAGTAGTAAAGGGCCTTGTTGTAGTCTCCAAGGTGATAGAATGCTACTCCTGACCGGTAAAGTGCCTTGAAGTTCTCTCCTTCTTTCTTCAGTACTTTCAGGCAATATTCTTTGACCCTCTCATAATTCACCAGCTCAGCTTGAAGTAGGCAGGCTACAAGAGAAAAAGGAACAGCAACTACTACAGTGTAAGTCTATTTTAGAGAATTATTCTTTCAAGATCAACAAGGGGAAGGATGTGGAGTTGGATGAAAAGTAGACAACTTAGGAAATGGCATTCTCATTCAGCTGAGCATCAGATCCCATTTTCCAATCTCTAATCTCAGCAGAAATAGTCTATGCTGCAATTAGAAATTGACATAAAGGTGGCATGGATGGATGGGTACCCTCTGGTTTGTTTGTTTTACAAATGAGCCAGGAATTCCCTATGCACCAAGAACAAAACTTTGTACAGACAGAAAAATGGATTCAAACTGTATGATAAAACAATACACACACACATAGTACAAAGCATATGCATATAATGCTGAATTATATGGTGCGGCTTAGAATATATTAAACTAAAGAAAAACAGTGTTATGAAAACATAAATATGGATGCTTGAACTGCAAAGCTCCTTAAGATGAAGTCATTCATAATACCCAATAATATTTTCTTTTTAAATTGCATATTTTTAACTCAACAACACTTGCATTTTATTTTCTTACACAAAGCCATTCACAACGATCTCTTTCCACCTTCTGTTATAATCTGAAGAAATGCTCTGTAATCA